AAGTGTGAAAGAGTAGGAGGAAGGATTTGTTCTCATTCACTGTGGAGGAAAAAAAAATGTGAGGGAGTGTGTTTGCAGGTAATTGGCCAAGGTTATAAACCTCAATAAATCAAAGCATGTTGTGTTTCAAAGAACAGTGGTCATATTACAGCAGATTATTTATTTTCAGACAAATAAAGGCTCAAACATGATCACTGTACTTCACTGTGATGGCTCGCATCACCCCTTGTTACTTGACCTCCCGCTGTACGTTCTGTTGCATTGAGTAGCACACATTGCACATAAAGAGCCTCCACATCAGGCTCCACTTTCATCTTTTTAACCCATTAAGACCTGAACCCTATCTGAGACACGCCTCTCAAATCCTGAGGGCAATTTAGAGAAGGGCCCCCAAATCGTGAGGTTTTCTGAAGTGTTGAGGTTTACAAAAAAGCTGATATCATGGCCTCTGTAGCAGATAGAAACAAGATTCAAAAAGTATTTGAGAGCTTAAACACGTGGCTTTCAAGATAACTATCTTTATTTTTCCAAACCTTTATCACATTATTGAAAACCTTGAACACACTGCTGGATGCTTCTTCTCCGAAGCTGCTCTTTGCCTCTGTCATTGTTTACTTACGAAGCACGTAGCAAGATCCGAGCATGAATCCGTTCGCTTTATTAAGCTTTATTAGCCTATGAGAGGCAGATGGGTATGATGATTTGATTCGCCACGACTCCAGAAATGACTGAAAAACCACAGGATGTCACAAAATGATGTATCCGTGCTCCCGGCTTGAAGGGTAGAAATGCACAGCAACGCCACCGACTTGGAAGGTTGAAATGCATATACGCTTCTCCCGGCTTGAAGGGTAGAAATGCATACATGCACCCAGCTTTCCAAGTAAAAATGCACAGCTACGCTCCCGGCTTGGAAGGTTGAAATGCGTACTTGCTGTCCTGGTTTAAATGGGTTAAGACTGAACAGATTGCATTTTGAAAGACAAGGCTTTATGTTTAAAAAAAAAAAAAAAATCTCTGAAGTCATTTAGAGGGAGAGCACTCAAGCTTCAAGTCAGTGAAGAGAATTTCTAATGACAAAATTTCCGCCCGTGCTGTGTTGTTAATTTTTTTAATTGATTAATTGAATAGATCAGAATTACTTAATAAAATCTTCATCATGAGATTAGTCAAGACAAAGGCAAATCTGTGCTGCATCTGTGGCAGTGGCGGTACTCAACTACCGCGCGTCCATACAATCTCAACCAATCACTATCCCATCTCTCTCTTTTGGGAGCCATTCCCATGGCCTGCTCCCTCTTTTGAAAACCAATCAAAAGCCATTCTCCATCTTTCCACTACCAATTCCATCTCGAGCTCCATCTTTTGGATGGCCAACCACACGGCATTCTCCCTCTTTTGAAAAACACATCCCCTATCTCCTGTCACTCAATTGGATTCGAGTCCATCTTTTTGCTGCCAGTTGCAATGCCAACTCCATCTTTTTGCACACGTCAATCACTTGGACATTTACATCAACGTCTGCTGGAAAACTCCAGAGTTCAACTGGTAACTTTTTTTAACTCAGTGGACACAAAGCATCATGCCAGCCTTGAAGCTCTCTCAAACTCTGTTAATTTCGACAGTGTTTTCCTTCAGTTAAGTCATATTGATCCCTATATAAGCTGCAAAAGACAAATTACTGTGGTTTTCTGTTAGGACATGGAGTTTCTCTTCTTCCTGAATTTTCAAAAATTCTAGAAAAACTATTCAAAATAGATGAGACAGTTTTATACATCACAAAAGATGAGCTGGCTCTGCACTGCAGGAGAAGGGCCCGGGCAGTGCTTGATTTGTGCCAGAGTAAGCCGGAGCAAGCTCCGGGACCTCTTCGATCGGATCCGGGACCTATTTCAGCTGCTCCAGCACCTGTTTGATCTGCTCCGGGACCTTCCCTGTAGAGGTTGACATTTTTCGGGAATTCCTCTGGGTCACAATTCCCGCGGGAATCCCACGGGATGGGAGTCATTTTTCAATCAATCCTGTGATTGGGACGGGGAAAAAAGCAACAGGAGCGGGCAGGAGCGGGAACAACTTTAATAGATGATCATTTTCAGCCGTGTTAAACAACCAGATGAACAGATGTGTCCAATTTTGTAGTCATCTCTCAGTGAGAACCAACACTCTTGACCACGCGAGCAACACGAAAGAACTACAACAGTGGTTTGACTTCCTGTTAGCCGGGAGCGCGGCTGCGCATTTCTACCCTTTAAGCCAGGAGCGCGGATACGTCATTTCATGACATTCAGTAGTTTTTCCAATCATTTCTGAAGTCGTGGTGAATCAAATCATCATACCTGTCTGCCTCTGATAGGCGAATAAAGCGCTCGGATTCATGCTTGGATCTTGTTACGTGCTTCAAGAGTGAAGTAAACAATGACGGAGGCGGAGCAGCTTTGGAGGAGATCCAGCAGTGTGAACAACCTCTTCATACGGAATGCTTTGGTTCACACTATCGGCGTTTTCTGTGAGTGTTGCATGACTTTGGGTGGGCACAGACATGAACACACTGTCAGCCATGTATTTATTTATTCATTTTTCTAGTTTTAAGCGCTAGTCTTGTACTGGCACTATACTAGGGCAGCTGTATACCCTTTTTTTAAATATTTACATTTGTGTTGATGGACACTTTATCATGACTTGTTTTACAGAAAGCAAATAGTTTATTATTCTCCAGTGCAAAATCTTTAATTTTATTTATACAGCTGCTTTAATTCATTAGGGCCCGAGCGTAGCTGCTAAGCAGCTGCGAGAGCCCTCTTGTTCCTGATGGATTCTTCTTTCGTTATTTTTCCTCCGCTTTAAACTGGAAAATGGCCCACTTCCCACTGGTGAAAACTCAGGAACTTTGGCAGGACGACCGGGCCTGGTGAAAAATTTGATATTCTGAAGTCGCCCAAACAAAAAAATGAAAAATGGCTCCATAGCGCCCCCTATGGTGAAAACTCACCTGACGCCTGTACGCTTTGTCAAAATGACACAAAATTTGACACACATGTGTATCTCAATAAGATCTACAAAAAAGTCAGTGCGGGCGTATCTGTCAAATGTACCGTTAAAGGGCTATTTCGCATTTTTTGCCGATCCGCACACATTGGAATTTCGCTAACTCCTCCGAAGGCTTTCGTTCCACCGGTACCAAATTTACTCAGGCCAATCTACACCCCAGGGCCATTAAAAGTTGTACAAATCATGACGCTGCACCCCACGGTTTATGTTCTAGGGGGCGCCAAAGATAACCCAAAAATCCACATTCTTAAAAGTCTTATAACTTTTTATTTTTGTCCTCACTGGCCTCCAAGTTTTCTAGGATGATGCTATGTCCAGCCATCAACACATTTGTGAAGGAATTTTTACTCCCCAAAAGAGCGCCCCCCCATGGCAGGAGAAAAAAGTCAAGTTTTTCTTGTCCCCTAACATGAAAATACACATTGTTGAGTGTCACGCCTAAACGCTTTGTCATATTGACACAAAAATTGACACACACGTGTATCTCAATAAGATCTACGAAAAAGTCAAAAAGCGCGTATCTGTATAATGTACGGTTAAAGGTTTATTTCGCATTTTTTGCCGATCCGCACACATTGGAATTTCGCTAACTCCTCCGAAGGCTTTCGTTCCACCGGCACCAAATTTGCTCAGGCCAATCTACACCCCATGGCCATTAAAAGTTGTACAAATCATGACGCTGCACCCCACGGTTTATGTTCTAGGGGGCGCCAAAGATAACCCAAAAATCCACATTCTTAAAAGTCTTATAACTTTTTATTTTTGTCCTCACTGGCCTCCAAGTTCTCTAGGATGATGCAATGTCCAGCCATCAACACATTTGTGAAGGAATTTTTATTCCCCAAAAGAGCGCCCCCCATGGCAGGAGAAAAAAGTCCATTTTTTCTTGTCCCCTTACATGAAAATACACATTGTTGAGTGTCACACCTGAACGCTTTGTCATATTGACACAAAAATTGACACTCATGTGTATCTCAATTAGATCTACGAAAAAGTCAAAGAGCGCGTATCTGTATAATGTACGGTAAAAGGGCTATTTTGCATTTTTTGCCGATTCGCACACATTGGAATTTCGCTAACTCCTCCGAAGGCTTTCGTCCCACTGACACCAAAGTTGCTCAGGCCAATCTACAACCCATGGCCATTCAAAGTTGTAAAAATCATGACGCTGCACCCCACGGTTTAAGTTCTAGGGGGCGCCAAAGATGACCCAAATATACATTACAGCAGACAAAGTAGTTTTGCCCACTGAGTGGCGCCAAAGGGACTTGTCTATGGAGTCTGAGAGTCACTATTGGCCGTTTTTGACTACTTTAGATTTTACCTTTATATTTCCTCTTAAAGTTTTTTTACCTTGCCTTGCCTGGTATCATTTTTTTCAGCACAACCTCACCTGTGTGAATTTACAGTTATTTTATCATTTTGACATACTGTATTTACACAATGGACCCAAATTCACACACAAAACATAAAATCCGAGTGGAAAAAAGTAACATTTTTACTGTGAAAACCACAAATATGTGTGATGAACTGTTTTTAAAACTTTAACTTCAAATACAAATTGTAAACTTCAAAACATATGCAAATTTTCTAACAAAGAACATAGTAATTTACCTCTATTTACATCAAAATGCAGGAAATGGCCCAGGCGTTCTTTGTAAAATTATTTACAAAACATTATATAGTCTCACAAATGTCACTTTTTATTTATGCCACTACAAAAAAACATGATGTAAATGATGCATGATGTAAAACATGATGTAAAAAACTTGTGTAGATCCTCCTCTATGTCAGTCCATGTGTAATTTCTCCATAATTCTTTGTTTTTTGCAGCATTTTTGTTAGTGTAACTGCAGATTGTGCTGACAGTGTCTATGGCAAAAAAAAAAAAAATAAATAAAATGCCTCATCATGAACCCCTGGTGGTCTCTGAGGGTGAAACCTGCTAACTGCTGCAGCTCTGTCAGCTTCAGTCTCCCATGCAGAGCTCGGAGCGCATGTGTGGCTCTGCACCCTTAGCAGCGTTGCTAACTCCTCAGTAAGGAAAGCCTGCTTCATGTCAGAGTCTCTAAACTCCAGAAGAAGTCGATAAAAGTCACTTTCTTTCTAAAAAAAGTCGTTAGGGGGTCTGAAAAGTCATTGAATCTAACAACAAAGTCGCTAGGTTTGCAACTACGTGTCCCAGACTGCATCCCTGCTGAGAGTCCCTCCCTCCCTTCTCATGTTGCAGGAAGAACGTAAGCGCCCGCCCCTTGTCAATCAGTCACCATATAATTTTGGATTGGTTGTTGTGGTGAAGTTTTCCACCAATAGGAGAGATGTTGTGTGTTTTTTTTTTCTTTTGGCAAGCCTTTTCCGCCTGTAAGACCTGTCGCTAATGTCTGCATGCTATGTTTTCCTGTCTCATACAGCGCGATCGAGCGCCGAACGTGATCAAAATAAGCAGAAAAAAAGTATCGCCAACATAATTTATCATAACTCTGGTTTTATTTGGCCTATCAACACAATTTAAAAACTGGTATATAGGTTGAGGTCCTCACTTTTGAGATAAGTTGAAACGGAGAGTCAACGAGGCTCCGTCTTGCAGCTACATCCGGTTAAATATGTCATGTGACTTGAACGCACACACAGACACACACACGCACACACACACACACACACACACACACACACTCAGAGTCTGGTCTTTAGCACCTGCAAAAACATGCTATTTACATATTTGACAAGAATGCAGAGGCTCCTTTTGCCCCTGAAAAAAATCAGATTTCAAACACAACTTGACTGGTCATTTCTCCAAAAGACAACCATGAAGCTCCATCCAAACCTGAAGCAGGCAGTTGGTGCATGTGTACAGTAACCTGAGGGGAGTGAGGTGAGTGCTTCTGAGGAGAACATGAGCAGTGAAGATTCACCTTGGAGCTAGAACAGAGACATGCACATGATTATACAGGGGCAGGGGCTCAAGTTTTTTCCAGTCGTTTATACAATATGGAAATTAATGTGAAATTAAAACACAAAGTATTAATAGAAAGGTAATGACTGTCCTGTGTAGGTGACAGTGATATCCAATAGGCTAGGCACTCACGAGGCTGGCTGTGGCAAGTGTAAGTGAAAGCAACACGCACTGGCAGGAAGAACAGCAAACGCCGATGAAGGAAAAGGGTCTTTGCAGTGATGGGCGTTACCAGAGAGGGCGATGGCCAGAGGACACAAATGGGACGGGAAGGCAGCACGTTGGGGGGGGGGGGACGGGGGGGGGGCACGCGACACGGCTCGGGCCCGCCAGTGCCCCAACGGGGTCCTAGTTAGGGCCCGAGCGTAGCTGCTAAGCAGCTGCGAGAGCCCTCTTGTTCCTGATGGATTCTTCTTTTGTTATTAGGGCCCGAGCGTAGCTGCTAAGCAGCTGCGAGAGCCCTGTTGTTCCTGATGGATTCTTCTTTCTTCTTCTTCTTCTTATTATTTTTCTGCCCCTTTGAACTGGAAAATGGCCCACTTCCCACTGGTGAAAACTCATGAAATTTGGCAGGACAACCGGGCCTGGTGAAAAATTCGATATTCTGAAGCCGCCCAAACAATCAAATGCAAAATGGCTCCATAGCGCCCCCTAAGGTGAAAAATTCACATGATTGAGTGTCACGCCTGTACGCTTTGTCAAAATGACACAAAATTTGACACACATGTGTATCTCAATAAGATCTACAAAAAAGTCAGCGCGGGCGTATCTGTCAAATGTACGGTTAAAGGGCTATTTCGCATTTTTTGCCGATCCGCACACATTGGAATTTCGCTAACTCCTCCGAAGGCTTTCGTTCCACCGGCACCAAATTTGCTCAGGCCAATCTACACCCCATGGCCATTCAAAGTTGTACAAATCATGACGCTGCACCCCACGGTTTACGTTCTAGGGGGCGCCAAAGATAACCCAAAAATCCACATTCTTAAAAGTCTTATAACTTTTTACTTTTGTCCTCACTGGCCTCCAAGTTTTCTAGGATGATGCAATGTCCAGCCATCAACACATTTGTGAAGGAATTTTTACTCCCCAAAAGAGCGCCCCCCATGGCAGGAGAAAAAAGTCCATTTTTTCTTGTCCCCTAAGGTGAAAATACATATTGTTGAGTGTCACGCCTATACGCTTTGTCATATTGACACAAAATTTGACACACACGTGTATCTCAATAAGATCTACAAAAAAGTCAGCGCGGGCGTATCTGTTCAATGTACGGTTAAAGGGCTATTTCGCATTTTTTGCCGATCCGCACACATTGGAATTTCGCTAACTCCTCTGAAGGCTTTCGTTCCACCGGCACCAAATTTGCTCAGGCCAATCTACACCCGATGGCCATTCAAAGTTGTAAAAATCATGATGCTGCACCCCACGGTTTACGTTCTAGGGGGCGCCAAAGATAACCCAAAAATCCACATTCTTAAAAGTCTTATAACTTATTATTTTTGTCCTGACTGGCTTCCAAGTTTTCTAGGATGATGCAATGTCTAGCCATCAACACATTTGTGAAGGAATTTTTACTCCCTAAAAGAGTGCCCCCCCATGGTAGGAGAAAAAGTCAAGTTTTTCCTGCCCATCGCTCAATGGCTCAAACACATCGCCCTCTCGGCAAAACCGAAAGGAGTAACAACTTGCCATTTGGATATATCCTAGCTGTGTTTGTGCCCTCACTCATGGTCCAGACTTTTTTCAAATAGGACATGGAGTTTGTCTGCAGCGAGCGTTTTGGTAGAAACTGCGCCTCCCATTCATTATAATGGTAAATGACCACAGACAAGTGCGCACACCATCTTTGGACCTTGAGTGTGATGCGATCGGGAGGGAGAGGCGGTCGTGTTGGGGGCGGCGCGACACAGCTCGGGCCCGCCAGTGCCCCAACGGGGCCCTAGTTATTAGGGCCCGAGCCAGCTGCAGAGCAGCCGGGCGTAGGCCCTATTATTCCCCAAGTGGTTTTTCTTTGTTTCTTTCTTTCTTTTTTCTTTTTCCTCCCCTTTGAACTGGAAAATGGCCCACTTCCCACTGGCGAAAACTCATGAAATTTGGCAGGACGACCGGGCCTGGTGAAAAATTTGATATTCTGAAGTCGCCAAAACAATAAAATGCAAAATGGCTCCATAGCGCCCCCTAAGGTGAAAATTCACACTATTCACTGTCATGACTGTACGCTTTGTCAAAATGACACAAAAATTGACACACATATGTATCTCAATAAGATCTACAAAAAAGTCAGTGCGGCCGTATCTGTCAAAATTACGGTTAAAGGGTTATTACGCATTTTTTGCCGATCCGCACACATTGGAATTTCGCTAACTCCTCCGAAGGCTTTCGTTCCACCGGCACCACATTTGCTCAGGCCAATCTACACCCCATGGCCATTAAAAGTTATCAAAATCATGACGCTGCACCCCAAGGTTTAGGTTCTAGGGGGCGCCAAAGATAACACTAAAATCCACATATTTAAAAGTCTTATAACTTTTTATTTTTGTCCTCACTGGCCTCCAAGTTTTCTAGGATGATGCAATGTCCAGCCATCAACACATTTGTGAAGGAATTTTTACTCCCCAAAAGAGCGCCCCCCCATGGCAGGAGAAAAAAGTCCATTTTTTCTTGTCCCCTAAGGTGAAAATACACATTGTTGAGTGTCACGCCTATACGCTTTGTCAAAATGACACAAAAATTGACACACACATGTATCTCAATAAGATCTACGAAAAAGTCAATGCGCGCGTATCTGTCAAATGTACGGTTAAAGGGTTATTCCGCATTTTTTGCCGATCCGCACACATTGGAATGTGGCTAACTCCTCCTAAGGCTTTCGTTCCACCGGCACCACATTTGCTCAGGCCAATCTACACCCCATGGCCATTAAAAGTTATTCAAATCATGACGCTGCACCCCACGGTTTAGGTTCTAGGGGGCGCCAAAGACAACCCTAAAATCCACATATTTAAAAGTCTTATAACTTTTTATTTTTGTCCTCACTGGCCTCCAAGTTTTCTAGGATGATGCAATGTCCAGCCATCAACACATTTGTGAAGGAATTTTTACTCCCCAAAAGAGCGCCCCCCATGGCAGGAGAAAAAAGTCCATTTTTTCTTGTCCCCTAAGGTGAAAATACATATTGTTGAGATTCACGCCTATACGCTTTGTCATATTGACACAAAATTTGACAATCACGTGCCTTGCCTGGTATCATTTTTTTCAGCACAACCTCACCTGTGCGAATTTACAGTTATTTTATCATGTTGACATACTGAATTTACACAATGGACCCAAATTCACACACAAAACATAAAATCCGAGTGGAAAAAAGTAACATTTTTACTGTGAAAACCACAAATATGTGTGATGAACTGTTTTTAAAACTTAAACTTCAAATAAAAATTGTAAACTTCAAAACATATGCAAATTTTTAACAAAGAACATAGTGATTTACCTCTATTTACATCAAAATGCAGGCAATGGCCCAGGCGTTCTTTGTAAAATTATTTACAAAACACTGTATAGTCTCACAAATGTCACTTTTTATTTATGCCACTACAAAAAAACATGATGTAAATGATGCATGATGTAAAACATGATGTAAAAAACTTGTGTAGATCCTCCTCTATGTCAGTCCATGTGTAATTTTTCCATAATTCTTTGTTTTTTGCAGCATTTTTGTTAGTGTAACTGCAGATTGTGCTGACAGTGTCTATGGCACAAAAAAAAAAAAATTCAAAATGCCTCAACATGAACCCCTGGTGGTCTCTGAGGGTGAAACCTGCTAACTGCTGCAGCTCTGTCAGCTTCAGTCTCCCATGCAGAGCTCTGAGCGCATGTGTGGCTCTGCACCCTTAGCAGCGTTGCTAACTCCTCAGTAAGGAAAGCCTGCTTCATGTCAGAGTCTCTAAACTCCAGAAGAAGTCGATAAAAGTCCCTTTCTTTCTAAAAAAAAGTCGTTAGGGGGTCTGAAAAGTCATTGAATCTAACAACAAAGTCGCTAGGTTTGCAACTACGTGTCCCAGACTGCATCCCTGCTGAGAGTCCCTCCCTCGCTTCTCATGTTGCAGGAAGAACGTAAGCGCCCGCCCCTTGTCAATCAGTCACCATATAATTTTGGATTGGTTGTTGTGGTGAAGTTTTCCACCAATAGGAGAGATGTTGTGGTGTGTTTTTTTCTTTTGGCAAGCCTTTTCCGCCTGTAAGACCTGTCGCTAATGTCTGCATGCTATGTTTTCCTGTCTCATACAGCGCGATCGAGCGCCGAACGTGATCAAAATAAGCAGAAAAAAAGTATCGCGGACATAATTTGTCATAACTCTGGTTTTATTTGGCCTATCAACACAATTTAAAAACTGGTATATAGGTGGAGGTCCTCACTTTTGAGATAAGTTGAAACGGAGAGTCAACGAGGCTCCGTCTTGCAGCTACATCCGGTTAAATATGTCATGTGACTTGAACGCACACACAGACACACACACACGCACACACACACACACACACACACACACACACACACTCAGAGTCTGGGTTTTAGCACCTGCAAAAACATGCTATTTACATATTTGACAAGAATGCAGAGGCTCCTTTTGCCCCTGAAAAAAATCAAATTTCAAACACAACTTGACTGGTCATTTCTCCAAAAGACAACCATGAAGCTCCATCCAAACCTGAAGCAGGCAGTTGGTGCATGTGTACAGTAACCTGAGGGGAGTGAGGTGAGTGCTTCTGAGGAGAACATGAGCAGTGAAGATTCACCTTGGAGACATGCACATGATTATACAGGGGCAGGGGCTCAAGTTTTTTCCAGTCGTTTATACAATATGGAAATTAATGTGAAATTAAAACACAAAGTATTAATAGAAAGGTAATGACTGTCCTGTGTAGGTGACAGTGATATCCAATAGGCTAGGCACTCACGAGGCTGGCTGTGGCAAGTGTAAGTGAAAGCAACACGCACTGGCAAGAAGAACAGCAAACGCCGATGAAGGAAAAGGGTCTTTGCAGTGATGGGCGTTACCAGAGAGGGCGATGGCCAGAGGACACAAATGGGACGGGGAGGCAGCACGTTGGGGGGGGGGACGCGACACGGCTCGGGCCCGCCAGTGCCCCAACGGGGTCCTAGTTATTATTTTTCCTCCGCTTTAAACTGGAAAATGGCCCACTTCCCACTGGCGAAAACTCATGAAATTTGGCAGGACGACCGGGCCTGGTGAAAAATTCGATATTCTGAAGTCGCCCAAACAAGAAAATGCAAAATGGCTCCATAGCGCCCCCTAAGGTGAAAATTCACACTATTGACTGTCACGCCTGTACGCTTTGTCATATTGACACAAAAATTGACACACACATGTATCTCAATAAGATCTACAAAAAAGTCAGTGCGGGCGTATCTGTCAAATGTACGGTTAAAGGGTTATTTTGCATTTTTTGCAGATCCGCACACATTGGAATTTCGCTAACTCCTCCGAAGGCTTTCGTTCCACCGGCACCACATTTGCTCAGGCCAATCTACACTCCATGGCCATTCAAAGTTGTACAAATCATAATGCTGCACCCCATGGTTTAGGTTCTAGGGGGCGCCAAAAATAACCCAAAAATCCACATTCTTAAAAGTTTTATAAATTTTTTTTTTTGTCCTCACTGGCCTCCAAGTTTTCTAGGATGATGCAATGTCCAGCCATCAACACATTTGTGAAGGAATTTTTACTCCCCAAAAGAGCGCCCCCCCATGGCAGGAATAAAAAGTCCATTTTTTCTTGTCCCCTAAGGTGAAAATACACATTGTTGAGTGTCACGCCTGTACGCTTTGTCGTATTGACAAAAAATTTGACACACACGTGTATCTCAATAAGATCTACGAAAAAGTCAATGGGCGCGTATCTGTAAAATGTACGGCTAAAGGGCTATTTTGCATTTTTTGCCGATTCGCACACATTGGAATGTGGCTAACTCCTCCTAAGGCTTCTGTCCCACTGACACCAAATTTGCTCAGGCCAATCTACACCCCATGGCCATTCAAAGTTGTAAAAATCATGCCGCTGCACCCCATGGTTTACGTTCTAGGGGGCGCCAAAGATGACCCAAATATCCACATTCTTAAAAGTCGTTTTGGCCACTGCAGGAGTACAGAGTACTGCAGGATACACACACACAGACACACACACACACAGACACACACACACACACACACACACACACACACTCAGAGTCTGTTTTTTAGCACCTGCAAAAACATGCTATTTACATATTTGACAACAATGCAGAGGCTTCCTTTTGCCCCTGAAAAAAATCAAATTTCTAACACAACTTGACTGCTCATTTCTCCAAAAGACAACCATGAAGCTCCATCCAAACCTGAAGCAGGCAGTTGGTGCATGTGTACAGTAACCTGAGGGGAGTGAGGTGACTGCTTCTGAGGAGAACATGAGCAGTGAAGATTCACCTTGGAGCGAGAACAGGGACGTGCACATGATTATACGGGGGCAGGGGCTCAAGTTTTTTCCAGTCGTTTATACAATATGGAAATTAATGTGAAATTAAAAAACAAAGTATTAATAGAAAGGTAATGACTGTCCTGTGTAGGTGACAGTGATATCCAATAGGCTAGGCACTCACAAGGCTGGCTGTGGCAAGTGTAAGTGAAAGCAACACGCACTGGCAGGAAGAACAGCAAACGCCGATGAAGGAAAAGGGTCTTTGCAGTGATGGGCGTTACCAGAGAGGACGATGGCCAGAGGACGCGAATGGGACGGGGAGGCAGCGCGTTGGGGGGGGGGGGGGGGGGGGGGGGGGCGACACAGCTCGGGCCCGCCAGTGCCCCAACGGGGCCCTAGTTATTATTATTTTTCCTCCGCTTTAAACTGGAAAATGGCCCACTTCCCACTGGCGAAAACTCATGAAATTTGGCAGGACGACCGGGCCTGGTGAAAAATTCGATATTCTGAAGTCGCCCAAACAATAAAATGCAAAATGGCTCCATAGCGCCCCCTAAGGTGGAAATTCACACTATTGACTGTCACGTCTGTACGTTTTGTCATATTGACACAAAAATTGACACACATATGTATCTCAATAAGATCTACAAAAAAGTCAGTGCGGGCGTATCTGTCAAATGTACGGTTAAAGGGTTATTTCGCATTTTTTGCCAATCCGCACACATTGGAATTTCGCTAACTCCTCCGAAGGCTTTCGTTCCACCGGCACCACATTTGCTCAGGCCAGTCTACACCCCATGGCCATTAAAAGTTGTACAAATCATGACGCTGCACCCCACGGTTTAGGTTCTAGGGGGCGCCAAAGATAACCCAAAAATCCACATTCTTAAAAGTCTTATAACTTTTTATTTTTGTCCTCACTGCCCTCCAAGTTTTCTAGGATGATGCAATGTCCAGCCATCAACACATTTGTGAAGGAATTTTTACTCCCCAAAAGAGCGCCCCCCCATGGCAGGAGAAAAAAGTCCATTTTTTCTTGTCCCCTTACATGAAAATACACATTGTTGAGTGTCACGCCTGAACGCTTTGTCATATTGACACAAAAATTGACAATCATGTGTATCTCAATTAGATCTACGAAAAAGTCAAAGAGCGCGTATCTGTATAACGTACGGTTAAAGGGCTATTTCGCATTTTTTGCCGATTCGCACACATTGGAATGTGGCTATCTCCTCCTAAGGCTTTCGTCCCACTGATACCAAATTTGCTCAGGGCAATCTACACCCCATCCCCATTCAAAGTTGTAAAAATCATGACGCTGCACCCCACGGTTTACGTTCTAGGGGGCGCCAAAGATGACCCAAAAATCCACATTCTTAAAAGTCATTTTGGCCACTGCAGGAGTACAGAGTACTGCAGTTCTAGGGGGCGCCAAAGATGACCCAAAAATCCACATTCTTAAAAGTCTTTTTGGCCACTGCAGGAGTACAGAGTACTGCAGGATACACACACATATACACACACGCCAACACACACACACACACACACACACACACACACACACACACACACACACTCAGAGTCTGGTTTTTAGCACCTGCAAAAACATGCTGTTTACATATTTGACAAGAATGCAGAGGCTTCCTTTTGCCCCTGAAAAAAATCAAATTTCAAACACAACTTGACTGTTCATTTCTCCAAAAGACAACCATGAAGCTCCATCCAAACCTGAAGCAGATAGTTGGTGCATGTGTACAGTAACCTGAGGGGAGTGAGGTGACTATTTCTGAGGAGAACATGAGCAGTGAAGATTCACCTTGGAGCTAGAACAGGGACGTGCACATGATTATACAGGGGCAGGGGCTCAAGTTTTTTCCAGTCATTTATACAATATGGAAATTAATGTGAAATTAAAACACAAAGTATTAATAGAAAGGTTATGACTGTCCTGTGTAGATGACAGTGATATCCAATAGGCTAGGCACTCACGAGGCTGGCTGTGGCAAGTGTAAGTGAAAGCAACACGCACTGGCAGGAAGAACAGCAAACGCCGATGAAGGAAAGGGTCTTTGCAGTGATGGGCGTTACCAGAGAGGACGATGGCCAGAGGACGCGAATGGGACGGGGAGGCAGCGCGTTGGGGGGGGCAGCGCGACACGGCTCGGGCCCGCCAGTGCCCCAACGGGGCCCTAGTTTAAGTTTGTTTCCTCAATGTTTTCAAAAATGTGATGAAGATTCTGAAAAATAATAGATAGCTTTCTTGAAAGCCACACCTGTAAGCCTGTAAGCTCTCAAATACTTTTTCAATTCTGTTTCTATCTGCGACAGAGGCTGAGATATCAGCTTTTTTGTAAACCTCAACAGATAAGAAAACCTCAGGATCTGGGGGCCCTTCTCAAAATTGCCCTCAGGATTTCAGAGGTGCGGCTCATATACAGTACAGGCCAAAAGTTTGGACACACCTTCTCATTCAATGCATTTTCTTTGTTTTCATTACTATTTAAATTGTAGATTCTCAAAACTATAAATGAACACTTGTGGAATCATGTGCTTAAGAAAAAAGTGTGAAATAACTGAAAACATGTTTTATATTTTAGA